TGTGTGTAAGCACGCGTTGCAAGTGGTTCAGTAGTACTGTTAGTCCGTGGCCACAAGGACCACAACTGCCTCCCAATTCAAACTTGGTTTTTGTTATCTTCTGTCGACTGAAATCCGTGGACTCAAGCTGCCACTCAATGCCAGTATGCAAGTAGAGAGAGGAGATTAATAATTGAATGATCCCATATGCAAGCAGAGAGAGGGCTCTTGTCACCCATGCCATGCAGAGTAATAATTGAGTGATCCCGTGCGACTACAGTTCCAGTGCACAGAGAGAAAGAGGGACACCGAAAAATCGTAGGAGGATATTATATGCGAACGTCAATGAATACGATGGTGTGGATGACATGGAATGGCTCGGAAGAGACGACGCACTTTGACCGGCTTAATAAGGGCTGGGAAGATACGATGCATTCTCACCAACCTAAGGTAAAACTTTTTTTGCGTGGGCCAATGTAAGGTAGTACTCCTTTCGTTCCTAAATACAAGTCTTTTTAAAGATTCCACTAGAAAGACTATATTCGGATGTATATAGATGCATTTTAGAATATAGTTTCAGTTATTTTGCTTCGTATGTAGTCTCTAGTGAAATCTTAAAAAATAATTATATTTAGAAACGGAGGAAGTAATTAGCAAGCACTAAGAGCATTTAGAACCGCATATAGCAAATCTGGATCTTCAAACGTCGGCAGACACGTCCGGACGCGTCCATGAGCAGTGACCGGTCACATCTCAAATTTTCCTTCGCAAAGCTGGACACCTCAATTAGCAAATCTCAATTCCATATAAACACATGCAGCCTACGTGAACGATGCAACACAGATCATCCTGTTATTACAACAGGACATGCCATCGGACTATCAAAATTTGGCATGTTCTACCTAAATATTAGTTATGGAGAAGATCATCCACGGCTGCCCTTGCCCTTGCTAGCGCCTTTGTCGTCTTTCTCGCGGAAGTGACAAACGAAAACGCAAAATGGATCCACCTGGATCTGCTCGTCGTCGGAGTTGTCCGACCCGTCGCTGTCCTTCTTCTCCTCTTTGGGCAGCGCAGCCATGGCACAGGCTGCCCGATTTTGCTCCCGGGCGAGGGCACGTTTGTTCCTCCGCTGCCGCTTCTTTAGGATGTGAGCACAAATGGCTTCCTCCTCTATGGCAGCGCTCGCTACCGCATCCGCCATGCCCTGTCGGCAGCGGGGTGACCCAGGACCACCCTTATCCTCTTCCCATGGTGGGCACACCGATCCCTGTAGCAGTCATACTCCGGCGGACCGGAGATGGGGAGGCTAGTGGACCACGATGATCCAACCCCGGCGGATCTGAGCGCCTGTTGCACCGACACAATGGATTCGTGTCGGGAAGATCCCCCCGTCGATCGGGCGCAGTTCTCCTCATAGCGGCGAAGTGCAATGCAGACGGCCATAGACTCCTTCAACCCGCACTGGATG